TCATGTCTATTCAGTATGTTTCTTTCCTGATGGCTCTATATTAGCATCTCGTTTTTATGATAAAGTCTGTCTTTTTTTATTGGATGTAAAACATGTAAAGAACTTGACCTCTCTTCAATAAATTACAAAAATGTTCTAACATAATATTTCCAACATATTTTTCCGAAAGCACTATTTTTATTTGCAATTAATAAGCTAACACATTTTTTCAATTCTAGAAATATTCAAATCACTTATATTTTAAGCATAAGGAGCTTTAATCTTAATAATATTTTGGTTAAAGACAAATAAGTAAACCAATATTTTACAAAATGGAGAAAAAAAAGAACTTTACTTATAAATTCGATCTAATAATTTCTGATTGGCAGTGTTAATAACAGACTTAAAATATCAAAACATCATTTATCTAATATCCTGAAAGTATATTGTTTAATTTTGTGGAGAAGAGCTGATAACTAGACATGAGTATATCCCTTTAATAAATCCTACTTATTCCTTTAACAATTGATAATCAATAATCAAATTTATTAATCATTTAAAAAATTTCAAATCTCTGACAAATAGGTATATCAGGCCTTCACTTAATAGATTCTCTCTTCTAATGACTCAATAGTAGTCACTTTATTGTTTTCAACTAAACATTTACCATAAAAGTATTAGATCTGAGCTTTATCTGGTAAGTAGAAATAAACAGCATTTAAATCTTGATTATGAATTTAGCAAATTTCTTCCTAAACTTATTTTTGATTAAGAATTTTCATATTAATTTTTATAATAAATTAATTAATGTAATTATATATTATTTAATCACTCTTTATTTTTCATTGTTATAATTTCATTCTAATTCAATCCTTTAATAAACATAAAATAAGATTTATCTAAATTTCTTTTATATTACATACTTTAAATTAAAAATAATAACTGCCTATGATCTAATTTAAAAGAAAAGATCTCATAAAAATATATTCTATAACTCTTATGATATTGATAATAAGTTACAGATTTTTT